GGCTCCAAAACCACAGAGAAACCCTGTCTCGAAAAACCAAAAAAAAAAAAAAAAAAAAAAGAAAAAAGAAAAAAAATGTATTATGTCGGCTGTGGTGGCGCACGCGGTTAATCTCACTCAGGAGGCAGAGGCCGGTAGATAGATCTCTGTGAGTTTGAGGTGAGCCTGGTTTACATACTGAGTTCTAGGATAGCCAGAGCAAATAGTGAGAACTTATCTCAAAAAACCCAAAGAACTCATTACACTGTGTTTGTTTATAGCACGTGCGTATGTGTATGTGTGCATATGCCTGTGGAGGTCACAGGACAACTTGCTGGGATTGGTTGTCTTCTGCCATGTAGGTCCCAGGGATTGAACTCAGGTCGTTAGGCTTGACAGCAAGCACCTTTATCTATTGAGCCATCTTACTGCCTCCTTGAATTTATTCTTGTGTTCCCACCATTGCTGTGAGCTCTATCCCATCCCCTCCTTAACTCAGCCCATCTCCCTCCATCCACAGTCTCATTCCACTCCTTCTGTTGCCACCCTGTCCAACCTGTCAATCACATCCTGATTCCAACATCTCTACCTCTTTCTGCCTCATTCCCACTCCTAACCCAGCTCCCTCTGCAGACTCAGATTCCTTGTTTGCCCCTTCCACCCACTTTGCCCATCCCTAGCCTAAATTTTCACCGTGATTTCTACAGCAGTCTTCTCATCTCTGACCTGACCCCACTCCCATCCCAGTCACTAGCCCACTTCTTTCCTCCACCCCCAATCCACTGCACTCCCAGCCCCACCTCCTCCCCTACCCAGAGTCAGTCTCACCATCTTCCTTTCCCATTTTCAAATTCCAGCATGCTTCATCTCCCTCCTTGTTTCTCTCTCTCTCTCTGCCTCTGTCTCCGCCTCTGTCTGTCTGTCTGTCTGTCTGTCTGTCTGTCTGTCTTTCTCTCTCTCCCTCCTTCTCTCTCCTCTCTCAAATTGAAGTCTCTGCTTCCTAAGTACTGGGGTTACAGATGTGTGCCACTATCCACTATTCTTTCAGCTTCTCTTCTACATACAGAGAGGCATATTAACCACACAAACTTGCAGATCCATGTTCACTTAAACCCTTGTCTGTGTACCAGGCTCTACTGCCAGTTTCCCCATTCCCTGCCCTTCACTCACAGAGAGGTGACGCCATGCCTGGAAGGTCAGGGAAACATTGGGGAGATGATGTCCCAGGGGCAGGAGGTCCAGGTTCACTCCTGGCAACCGAGATTCAGCCTGAAGGGTAAGTTCTGTTAGTGGGGCCCAGTGGGACTTGGGGGTGTCCCCACCCACCTCCAGACCTGACTGCATTAAGGAGACTCACAAAGCTGTGGACATAGCTCTGAACCTCAGAGAGCAGCTTCCTGGCAAGGTGCAGGCTGGCTGTGAATTCCCTGCGCAGCTCCTGCAGGCTCAGGGGGCCTGTTGGGAACCCCCAGGCACCAGCTTGCACCAGAAGCAAGGGTAGCAGCAGCAGGCTGAGCCCTGGAGAGAGGAGAAAGGGCTCAAGGTAAAAAAGAGAGCAAGATAAAGGCCTGAGAACCCCAGAGAAGAGAACAAGTCTATACAGCACCGAGTCTCTTTCCCTGGCAGCTTCAAGCTGTCCCCTTAGAACCACCATTTGGACCATAGAAGCTGCCCTGTGTCATCTCTGCACAAGTGTCACTGTTGTAAGGAGACAAAGGTGGAACCTGGACGCATACACCACCCCCACTGATTCCCTTGGTCAGTTGCCTGCATAACTGCATGCATGTAGCCTGGTCCTTAGTATTGTCTTCATTTTGCAGTGGAGACGGATCTTGAGATCGGGAAAAGCAACTAGCCGGAGCCAGACAGAGAGAGAGGAACCGGGAGGCAGGGCTGGATTCCAGATCCGTCCAAACACAGCCCAGCATGCTTTCCCCAGGGAACTCAGATGAAGTAGTCTCCTGTCCCAGAAGTGGGGACTCTGCTCTGCTAAGGATTCTTTGGACTCTCCCAGGCAGCTATGATGCTTTGAACTAACCTAGGGCTATGGAGGAGACCTGGCAAAGCCAGTGGCTCTATTCCAGGGACTCAGATGGAAGGGCCACAGTGCACTGGAGCCCTTCTGGGGTAAATCAGCAGCATGGCACTGGAAGGGACGTGGGCTGGGGTGGCACTGATGGGAGGGAGGAGGCTATCCTAGTCCTTCCTCGAGCAGGTCACTTGTTGTCTCTGTGTCCCAGGCTCCCAAGAAGGGCGCAGGACAGTGGAGTGGAAGAGGGCAGTCTTCAAAGGTTTCTCAATCGGGAGTTACACAGTTCCCCTCGAAACCCAAACCCAAACCAACCCCAAATCTGTCCCCACTCCTGCTCTTCTCCGTGCCCCTTCTCTGTCTATTCATAATCTCTAACCCACCTCTGAGTGCCCTTGGAAGAAGTTAATGGGCTTTCAGAAGTAGGCAGTGCTTGAGATCTCTGGCATTCAGGCTTCTCGGCTTGGGAACTTTCTGACTCCCTAGCATCCTGGAGACTAAAGCAAAGCAGAATTCTTCCTTGCTCTAGGATGGGGATAGAACGTGTACCCTTGGGCCCTAGTAAAGATTACACCCAGACTAACCTGTGCTAACTCATACCCTCTTTAAGTTCTGGACACGCCAAGATCCCTTTTGTAGTGAAGCCTGCTCTCATCCTCCAGCTCTCCTGATAGGATAGGTCCAGTCCTGCCACTTGTCCTCCTACAGTTCTGTTCCTAGCTCCTCGGTTACCAGCTGCAGACTGGGCAACCTCTATGCTTCAGACAGGCTGCCCACTTGGTCCCAGGCATCGCTTGCTCCAGCCCCCTCCCCATGCCGTTCCTCTGACAGTCCTCAGTCCTTAGCCCTGTCTTCATTTGTCTATAAAGTCCTACACATTACTTATCCAGTCTTTCTTACACATCCCAGCCAAACTGTCCTAACACTTGCCCAGTCTGGACAAGACTATAATCCCACTGTTCCAGCCCCTGCCCTCTTACACCAGTCTTGCTAGGTAGTCAGCTAGCCATGCCCATGAGCTAGGCCAAGGTGTTGCCCCTCAGCCCTCTGCCCCTGCCCTACCTGTCCAGCTCTCCCAGGCTCTCCGTCAAACCTCCCATCCCTCTGCCCAGTCCCAGCAACTCACGCCAGCCAAGGCCTCCGGTCACCTGGCCCATGTCAGGGCCCAGCCTCTGAGTGCAGCCATCTCCTGGGTAGAGGGGTCTTATACTGGGGGTTGCGCCCAGTTTCACTTTCTGTCCTGCTTGTACTTTCAGCTTTGTGCTCACCAAGTCTTCCCTTCTAAAATGGGGAAATGTAATTTCCCTTCCCAGAGGGGGAAGCAGGGGGGTGGCGGGAAGCTCGGGGTTTCAGCCCGTCTGAGCTCCGGACCTACTGCTGGGCTCCCAGGTCCAGCCCCTTCCTCAACTCCCCATCTCTAGTTCACTCACACAGTTCCGTGCACTGGGGGAACTCAAAAGACCCAACCTCCTCACACTTCTCTACTGCCACTAGCATCCAAGGGCCATTGCCACTCCATTGTCCTGTGAATGACAGATGGCCAGGTAAGGGAATTACCCACAAGAGGGGACTTGGTGGGGTTGACTCATCCATACCCTCATTCGGTTTACCAGATGGCTGAAGAGTGTGCGGGAAGTCAGAGCTCCATAGTGAGGAATGAGTCTGTGTGGGGCTGGCAGGGACTAGTTTGACGCACCGAGAGCTGGCATTCAGGTATCTGTAACCAAGTGTCAGGGTTGAAGGAGACCAATCTCGAGACCACGGTATCATAATCAGCTTTATTCAGACAATGGCTCTGTCTATGGACAGAGTCACATAGGATTAGGGCTCAGTCCACATCAAGGGTCAGAACTTGGTCTAGGGCCAAACTCAGTGCCTAGTCTGGGGCCAGTGTGTGTGCTCTCTCTGTATTTGGGGCCGGAGATATCAGTGAACCCTCTGCTTGTGGCTGGTCAGTGTTAGGCTTTGGGCTTCATGGGTGACAGAGCTGTGTAACTTCTGACGGAGGCTGTGACTCAGTGAGGTGAAAACTTAGGCTACTGATTGCTCTTTGGGCTGAAGAGGGAGGGGGAACGGATTGGGGGAGGGGGAGGGAAAGGGGAGGCGGAGGTGGGGAAGAGACTGAAATATTTAATAAATAAATAAAGAAAGAAAGAAAGAAAAAAAAAAAAAACTTAGGCTAGGCTAAGACCTCAACCAATGACCAGAACTGAGGTTCAACCTGAGGCCAGCTTGGGGTTGTATGAGGTTCAAGCCTCAGTCAGGCCCCGCAGGAAACCCAGGGTTTCAGGACCATGAGGATCATGGTCAGGGATGGAGCCTGACCACAGCATCCCTGCTAGTACAACACTGCTCTCAGCCACACCCTTGATTTCCCATCTTTTGAGAGAGCATGGGGGTTTCTTGGTCTTCCCCAAACTCCCACTTTCCTTTTGGGACTTGTGGGGTTTCCCTACAGGGTTCCTTCTGTGAGACAGAAACCAAGGGGGCTTCCCCTTTGGGTACCCTAGCTCCTCAGCACTGCCTAAGAACTGCCCACCCAAGTATGCCCGGGACACAGTACCAGGGAGATACCAAGTCCTGGAAGCTGTTGGAGAGCTGCAGCGGAGAAAATGGAAACTGGACCAGCGCATCCTGGTCCAGTCAGGTGTCTTCTGCCCCACCCCCAGGGTCAGCAGCTCCTCCACCCACTTCTGATGTGGTAGGGGGTCGGGAGCTGCAGGATGTTAAGGACAGAGATTGGTTTGGCCTTCTGCACAGCCACCCCATTCCCCACCATGGAGCACACAGTCCTTGGTCCTTCCTCAATTCTGTCCACTGCCCCTCTCATTGTCCGTCCTCTCATGAATAAACCACATCTCTGATTATTGCTTCTGGACCTCTGGCCTTCCCTCCCAGTCCCTCTGGCCTTCATCATCCTCCCTGCCCTCGCTTTATGCCAGTTCTAGCCATTGGCGTGCTGTCCCCAGTGTTGGACAAGTGGCTCCACCCGAGTCCTGGACCTATTCCCTTTGGTTTCCCTGGCGTTCTGGCTCATCCCTTCCTGACAAATCTTATCTCAAATGGATTCTTTGCAGTTGTTGTACCCTGCTCACTCCACTCCCATGCATGTTTCTGCCACACTGGCCTCCTTGTTGCTGTTAGAGCATCAAGTCCTCATGGCCTTTGCACTTCCTTCTCCTTCCTTTCCTCAGATTACACAATTCTTCTCAAAACCCAACCTAACCATCCACTTGTCTCTGCATTTTCTATCCTTTTCCTGCTTAATCATTGATATTATTAATTATCATTATTAATTTTTTATTACTTGTTTTGCAAGTTTGTGTGTCAAAGTGCACATGTGGAAGTCAGAGGAAAACTCTGGAATCAGTTATCTTTTTCCACCTTTGTTCAGGTTTTAGGGATCCATTCTAGATCCTCAGGCTTGTATGGCAGGTGCTATACCCCCTTAGCCATCTCGCTAGCCCTCCATACTTTATTTTTGAGCCTTGCCTGTCTGTCTGTCTATCTATCTATCTATCTATCTATCTATCTATCTATCTATCTATCTATCTATCATCTATCTATGTTTTGTAAGTGCTTGGGAACAGAAAGAGGCAGAGCTCTATGAAGTCGGCCTAGCCTGCAAGGACAGCCAAAGCCACATAGAGAGACCCTGTCTCAAAAAAAAAAAAATACTAAAAACTTTTGAAAAAAAAAAAAGAAAAAGACAGACTGGCCTCAAGCTTGAACTCTTCCTGCTTCAGTGTCCCAAAGCTGTGGCTTAGCCTGGAGCCAGCAGGAAATGGAAGGGATGTGGTGAGAGGTGAGAAAAGGAAACTAGGGAAGCCTGGGGCGTGGCTTCTAGGGTGCGACCTGGCAATCTTGGACCTCAGTTTCCTCCTTGAGACTTGACAGCTAGTTTCAGAGTCAGCCAGTGATATCACACACAGAAATTAAAACCCAGAGCAAGAGCGAAAGGACCGTCTGCCGAGTTTCTAGTTCTTTCCCACACCCTGCGGGCTCTCCAGAGCTTGGGGGGAACCCTGAGCTTGGGGCAGCGTTGATTTCAGAGGAGCCATGGGAAGGAAAGTCTCACTGGAGGCACGTGGAGAGCAGGAACAGAACGCAGTCCGGAACTCAGCTCGCGTTTCCAGCTTGTGCCGAACTGGGGAATCCCCAGGTTATGTGATGTCAGTGCCAAAGTCCCAACATGGTGCCACCAAGATGGCCTGTGGGGAAGGCAGGAAGGTCTGGAGTTGAGCCTCACGTGGAGGTTTCTGAGCCCAGATGGAGAACCCTGATGTTGGGAAGGCTTCCACTCCCTCCGACAAGAAGGTGGATGTGGCTATATCAGGCCACATTCCACCCGGGGCCTTTGTTTTGTTTTTGTTTAGAAACACTTTTTTTAAACTATACATATTTATGTGTGTGTCTGTGTTGGGGTTTGTTTATAGCATGTGGGTACTAACAGAAGCTGAGGTATTCCATCCCCTGGAAATGGAGTTAGAGGCAATTAGTTGTATTGTCTAACATAGTTCCTGGGAACTGAACTGATGTCGTCGGAAAGATTAGTTAGCGTCCGTAACTGCTGAGCCATCTTTCCAGCTCCCTTCCCTTTTCCAGACAGGGTCTCACTGTGTAGCCCTGGCTGGCCTGGAGCTTCTCTGTAGATGAAGAACTCAGTGAGTGACCTCTACTTTTTGAATGCTGAGATTAAAGGCATGTGCCACTATGCCAGCCCCTACCACCTGCAACGCACTTAAAAAAAAAAAACATAGGATTTTGTCATATAGCCCAGGCAGGCATGGAACTTTCCATCGTCTGTTTGAGTCTACCAAGTTCTGGGGTTCTGGGCATGTGCCACTATGCCTTGCTAAGATTCCTTTTTTCTCTCAGGGTCTTGTGTATGTTAAGGACACTCTACCATTGAGAGTCTACCAGGAGAAACCTTACAGTGTCCACTCACAGAATGAGCAAGGGACTTTATTGTCCAGCTCCCTCCTGACTACCATCCTGCACCCAAACACACCTGCATTTCTAGACCTAACTTTGCAATGTCCTTTTACAGGGGAAAAAAAAAATGAAGGTTTTACCTCTTGCCCTCCAAGGCTGTTGGTTCCATGAAAACATGTTTAGGCACAGGATGGTAGGCATACAGTGAGTTCCAGGACAGCCAAGACTATATAGTGAGTGACTCAAAGGGGGACCCTGCTTAGACTCCTAGCAGTTGGGGATAAGTAACCTAAATTGACCATCTGCTGAGACCAGATTGGTGTCTGGCCTAATTGTCATCAGAGAGGCGCCATCCAGCAACTGATGGAGGCAGATGCAGAGACCCACAGCCAAACATTAGGCAGAGTCTGGGAATCCAGAGGGGAAAAGAAAAAGGCATGTAGGAGCCAGAGATGTCAAGGACGCCATGGGAAGGCTCACACAATCGACTAACCTGGGCTCATAAGGGCTCTCAGGGACTGAACCGACAACCAGGGAGCCTACATGGGACTGACCTAGGCACTCTGAATATATGCTACAGTTGTGTAGCTTGGTCCTCTTGTGGGATTCCTAATAGCAGGAACAGGGGCTGTCTGTCTCTTTCACTGGCTTTTGGGACTCTACTCCTTATACTGGGTCACCTTGCCCAGCCTTAATATGTGGGTGGGTGTGCATTGCTTAGTTTTACTGCAACTTGGTAGGCTATGTTTTATTGATACTCATGGGAGACCTGCCCTTTCCTGGATGGAGTTGGAAGAGGGAAAGGGGTGGAAGTGGGGTAGAGATGGGGGGGCGGAGTGAGAAGCGGCTGCGGCTGGGATGTAAAATAAATAGATGAATAAAATTAAACAGACCTCTTGGAAGGAGTCTGTCTGCAGAGACTGACAGACAGACTGGAGTCCAGTACAGTGGAGAGCTAAGAATGTCATCAGATAGCATCTTGGACCTTTAAAAGGTTTCCCCCATCTCAATGCATCTGCCTGTCTGGTGTGCCCACCAATGTATTTTAAACTTGCCTTGATTTATGACTTTCTTTGTTCTGTAACACTGAAAAATCCCTGTGAAATTGCTTCCATGTTGGAACATGGAATTTGGGGGTAACCTAAGCCTGTGTTCCAGGGTCATGGTCACTCATAAATGCTCCAGAATAAACTATGTTTTATTCCTTTTAAAAATAAAAAAAAAATGAAAAACTAAGTCAGCGCAGCCGCTGGGTAGCAAGTTGTTTGGCTGGCAGAGTCCCTATCTGTACCATCTGTATGTGAGACAGAGAGTGCCAACGGCTACATCTGGAGGGTTCACCAGGCCATTTGCACGAAGCAGTAAGCATGAGGCCCTGTATTGGTAAAACAGGGGTTTAGCTATTAGTGGTTATTTTAAGGCCTGACCCACAGGAAACAACAAGAAATACCAGTTCTTGCTAATCTGAGATGAGAGCCCGACAAGGCGCTCAGTTTGTAACTTGCTGGGAAACCCTTGAAAGTCACAAAGACCAGAAGTCTTTGTTTCTTCCCTTTCAGAATGGGGTTCAGCAAACAGTGGTCTCCTTCCCAGAGGAACAAAGGGCTCAGAGGAACAGAGAATGCTACATAAAGAGACGTCCCGAGAAAGGGACCCAAGTCCAAACACATTTGTTTCTTTTATATGTGACTTATACACACACAGCCAGACTGGGTGGTGGTGGTACATATCTTTAATGCCAGCACTCGGGAGGCAGAGGCAGGTGGATCTTTGTGAGTTTGAGGCCAGCCTGGTCTACAAGAGCTAGTTCCAGGACAGGTTCCAAAGCTACAGAGAAACCCTGTCTCGAAAAACAAAACAAAACAAAACAAAAAAAAAAAAAGGCTCAGTTGTTTAGGGCTACTGATGTCAAGCCTGATAACTTGAACTTGACTCTCAGGACACGTGATGGAAGGAGAGAACTGACCGCTGTAGTGTGGGGTGCTTCCCCTTACTCTCCACACACACACACACACACACACACACACACACACACGCACGCACGCACGCACACATGCCTTCAGGATCTAGGAACATTTAGGCTTCAGATT